CAAATGCCTTACTAGTAGTAACAAGAAGCTACTAGTAACTTCTAGTAACAAGTGCCTTACTAGTAATAACAAGAAGCTACTAGTAACAAGTGCATCGCTTCTAGTAACAAGTGCCTTACTAGTAGTAACAAGAAGCTACTAGTAACAAGTGCATCGCTTCTAGTAACAAGTGCCTGGAACAAGTGGATTGTATCAAGAAGCCACTGACAAGCGGAGTAAAAACCTTTTTAGGGGCACAGGTCTAATCTAGCATGTAGGAATAGGCTAAGAGGAAGAACGAAAATTGGGCCCACCGAATCCGGGAAAGAGATCATTTTTCATATATAGTAAGCCATCCATTCTAGGACCCATTGTTGCATTTTTGCCTGCCCGAGCTCGTTTTCTTGTTCAAGGTCCGAGTAAGATGCAGAGACTATCCAATCTGTTCAGAAGGCCCACTCTTGCTGACCACATCCGGCAAGCACCGCTGCCAGCACAAGTGGTTGAGCTCGACTGCGATCTCATCAGAGACACCGAGGACTTCGACAACGCTACCTGCGCCTACGGTCCGGACGGTGCTGGGGTGGTGCACGTGGCCAAGCACTCGCGCAAGTGGTCGCTCAGCGGGCATGTGTGCGAGTGCAGTGTTGACCGGTTTACCGTGGGAATCTGCAGAATCCCAAGGAATCTGCAAGACTTACAGGATGTGAGTGGGACTGACTTTGGCCAAGCAGACTTTCTGTCGCGGTGGATGAGCTCCATGCCGGCGATTGGCAACTTGGTCTTGATGGATCTTTGCCTGCCTGGCACGCACGACTCGTTGAGCTACGACCTCTCTGACCACGTGGCTGAGGGTGACTCCATCCCTAGTTTGCCGACAATTCATGGGTTTCTTGAGATGAACCCTACTGCAAAGCACTTGGTCATGAACGAAGTCATGAAGTTGTGCAAGTGCCAGACCATTAGCATCCAAGAGCAGCTTGATGCTGGCATACGCTTCCTTGACTTCCGAGTCATTTGGTCTCCCCGTCGCGATTGTTGGGTGGGAGTGCATGGTCTGGAAACCAAGCAGCCAGCCTTGCACTACCTGAAGGAGATTCGCGCGTGGCTCATGGCCCATCCTGGCGAGATACTGATCATATGGCTGTCCCGGCACGGGGCTGAAGAGCACACAGGAACGCAGCAATACCCTCACGTTGATGCTGAGAACAAGCAGAACTTCTACCAATCGATCTTGGACATCTTCGGTGAGCTTGTGGTGAACCATGAAGAGACACCCCTCAAGGAAACACAGATTCAGAAGCTTGTGGCCCTCAAGCGGCAGCTGGTCTTGGTTTGCTCCGACTGGTCGGAGTTCACGGGAAGGAGCAGCCTAGCGCTGGATGCAGCGGAATGGCTTCAGAATGACCTGCCCGGCTCCCACGATGACCCTGTGCTTGACGCCCTGAAGTTCTTCTCTCAGAGCCACGAGACATTTGATAAGTACCACATTGTCTCGCTCGCTTGCAGTGTCACTTACCGGTCCAAGACAGAAGCTTTGAACATTCAATCTTTTATTCGCGTGTACAGTTCTACTCTACAGTACTCTGTTCTGTGCACCCTTCTATTCTGTCTCAAAAGCAACTGGGAACCGTAGGCGCAATGTTCCAGCAATCAGGACGCTCGTCCATTTTTATGATGCTTTGTGAGACTCCAGACCCTGCGTCTATGGAAACCGGCGTAAACCTTTGGAGGTGTTTCCGGTCGAAACCCCTTTGGGTCAGGAAATCGGAGGAAACGCCCTATTCAAAAAAGAGATGTCATATTTTTCTATTTGTGGGTATGCGGGTTAGCCTCCAGAGGTTTTCCGCCCATCAGAGACGCAGGGTCTGAAGTCTCATAAGGCGTCAAACTCTGACTTGGCCTTCTTTTGCGGAGTTTCACCCTTCCAAGCAATTTCTATTTTTCAGACCGCGCAATTAAACAAGAAACTTCTATCCTGAGAGTTGAACCAGTAAGGTCAATGCTGGGGCGGTGGTCGAGCATCTCATCTCTGAACACGGTCAGCGCATCATCAACTGCTTTGGCGCCGATCTTCCCCAAAGCATTTTCCACCAAGTGCCAGGAATGAAGAGTCACCCATGGAGGTTGGATGACAGCGCAAGATTCACCAACTACTACGTGCAGTTGGTGCTGGAAACTGTATGGTCCAGGTGCTCCCTTCCTCAGTCCATCTACGTTGACATGGTGACCCAGGACGGTGGCATCGAGATCGGCGCCAGCCCACACGACCAGTTTGGTTTCGTGGACACGATTCTGGCCTACAATGCCCTGAAGTGCAGGGACCTGTGCGAGGACCAGCGCTTGCTGGCGCCCATGATGTGGCGAAAAAGTCGGCTGCCACTGCGGAGGTGGGAAGATCGAAGGAATGGCCGTTCCGCCGTGTGGCCTTTGAGGCCCACTGGATGAAGTAATTCATGGACATGTTTGTTGAGAGATGTGAATTCAGAAGGGTGTTGACCAAAATGACCCGTGAAGCCAATAACACTGGCTTTTTAAATCTTCAAGGGGTATCACTGCTGAATGGAGCAAGATCCAGATTCCTTTGACGTTCGATATTTTCTTTGTTGCTTGCTACGGCCGGCCTGTTACCTGTTACCCGAGCTTCGAGGGTGAGCTTCTGATTTTGAAAGCGCTCGAGCGCCTTTGGTCCCATGCTTGATTTGGAGGCGCTTTTGTACAGGGTTGCCGAAACAGCGTGCCGGGCGCTTTTACACCGACAATAGCTTGCGCACAGCTTGAGGAGGTGTGACAAACCTGCTCGCTGTGCATTGTTGAAGGAAGCTGTGCAGCTGGATTTCTTCGGCCGCATCCCCGCAACACTGAGCTGGCTTTCGCAAGAATCGGATACAGGAAGAATTTAGGGAATGCCAGGCAGCGCTCGCCCTCTTTGATACACTCCCTGAAACAACCATGGAATTAAAACGTAGGAGGTCCTGGTCAGCTTCCATGATTGTTGGAGGGTCCGGGTAAGGTTTTCATTTTTGGCTACCATTCTGTGTATTTGGGCCGACGCGAGGCCGAGATCACCTGCAAGGCTGGGGCAGGGAGCTGGAAACTGCTGGGACATCTTCTGTTGAGGCACTTGGCACTGCGAACTGCAGATTAAAATGTAGCTTGCGCATTTTGTAGAGAAAGTCTCAGCTTGGAAGATGTGTTGACTTTTGCAACCTTTTGAGATCAGTGAGCACACTGGGTACATCAGAACACCAAGCTGATCAATAGATTTGCAACTTAGCACTCTTGGAGCGTGCTACAAGTCATGTTGAGGGACATTATGACCGTGCTTAAATAATGTAGGGAGGACCTGCTGCTAACGTTGAGCATTGAATTTCATCAATGAGGGTATGAAGCAGCTACAGCTAGAACAAAAGGCAGTGAGTCAACGTGTCGAAAGTCGTTCTTTCACAAAAACCTTTCTGCAGCAGACTTTGATTGATTGCGTGGTCCAGCTCATTTGATCACTCAGACGGGGGAATGTTTACCAACGCATGTAGGAGAGGAATAGCCGACGGGGAAGTGATACATGATTTCCAAAAACATTACTAGATTCTGATTTGTTGAGTTTGTGTTACCTATAATTCCACCTGGCGGTCTGTACTCGTAGGCATTTGTATTGGATCCATTGACATGTGCGGTAACCTTTTTCGACGTCCATTTCATTGAACTGTATCCACTGAAAAATGATGAACAATGAACGTATAGTTGTTTCTTTCAAGTGGATGGCTCTGAGTGGTTTTCCTGGAGTCCTTTTTTGCAGCAGTCCGCGAGTTGATCATCATGTTTGATAAGCAGTCTGGTCGCGTCGAAGACTGCGAAGGTGCCGTTTGGGTCGGTGGAACGGTGGAACCGAATCGACCAGGCCAGAAGATCCTGTCATGCACTGCCGGAGCAGATCTGCGGGAAAAAGACACGCCCCTCTCGGCGCTTGTCTTCGCAGTTGTCCCTCTCTTCGCCTTCGCCGGATGGGGAGGTCGACCACGACGCATTTTCGCACCATTGGTGTTGACCAGATATGGCTTTCCACAGAATGCCCTACCAAGAGGTTTGGCTCGCGATTGCCTGGTCTTTTGGATATGCTAGGTTCGCTTAGGATTATTCGACTTCCATACTGTAAGTTCTTCGAAGCATCTTGCCGCAGGTTGACGGTTGGGTCGTGCTGGCCCCGCTGCCCGAGATTGTGGTTCTTGGTTGGGGTACACTCCAGAAGACCGATCAGAACCTAATGCAGCACGCGGTCGGGTTTAGACAATATCCAAAGACGACAAAGAAGGTGCAGGTGCTGGGTGGGAGGAGGAGGAGGAGGAGGAGGAGGAGGAGGATGTACTGGACAATGGGGCAGTTGTTTTCCGTGTTTGATCGAAAAAATCTTGACACCTACTGCTTTCAACATATGAGGACGCGAGGGCACAATGGCAAGTCATCGGAGCGTGTGAATTGCTTTCTGAGTCCGTTTTTTTTTCACACACTTTGCGTGTGGATGTCCATTAATCATTAGCGTCGCCAACAGAACTCTGCAGTATCCTCAAAGAAGAAACTGCTTCCCTCTATAGAAATACCAACCTGATACAGGGCGGGCCAGCCTTTCCCGGTGCACTGGTTGCCCACCTTCGACTTGGTTCACCGGGACTACTAGGGAGCTGTGTCACCAGGGAGCGCGTTATCCGCCGATATCCGCCTCTTTCGGCACTGATGCTGCCAGAAGCTGATCTATATAGAGGGCTGGTCGATTTGTTTTGAAAGAGGAGTCAGTGTCACATTTAACAAGACTCAAACCTTGGTTTTCCATGCCTTTCACTTTCATGCGTCATTTCGATCCTGCTTGTGCTATGAATAAAAACTGGAATGTTGCACGCTAGCCGCTAGCCAAAATTATGAACCAGTGACCCTGTCAGAACAAAGTGCTTACCCAAACTACTAAGTTTGTAGACCTCCTGAGGAAGTGAGAAGGGAACCTGGAACACACCGTTCTTAGAACCCACCGTGTTTCCGTGCTTTAGAACCTGCGACACTCCATGTGAAACCACATGGATCTCCGCGTAGCGCATGGCGCCCTCTCCACGCGTCGAGACGCCACGCACCGCCGCGTGGGCGGCCCGACCGTGGCCCTTCTGCCTGCTTTGGAGCGCGCTGCTCCTGGCGCCGCCGGTGCACGGCACGGTCACCGGAACGGTGGAGCTCCTTGGGTGTGGAAGGAAATGGATGGGGGGGCCAGGGGTGGTGGGTGGATGTCCAAAAAGCAACCTGAAAAGGAAGGAAACAGGGGTAAGGGGGTATGAGTTTATTCATGTCAACGACTAATTATATCATATGACTGGATCAAATTGCGATGATTCGGAGACTTCCAATGAAACCATTTGCTTAGTGTATGCTGATCGACTGGAAGGTTTGGCAACTTGGTCGGCATGGTGACGTGAGCAAAGGGCAGGTCACGACAAAACCGGCGAGGTCACGACGGATCGGCTTCATCGAGATCACTGGAAACCCAGTCCCAAGCAAAAATTCGTGGATGGAACTCCCCAGCCATTTCCTATGTAAAGGATCTCAGGCTGGCGCCATATTGGAACATCCGTTTGTTTCTGGTTGTTTGGGGTTCCAGGTGATTCTTGGAACCCCAAGAGTGGTCGACTGGTCGTTTGGGGGACACTCTACATACCCTGAACTTCGACTTCTTTTTGTATACCCCACCTGGCAGTCATAATCCACCAGTACCCAACGGGTAAAATGAGTCATGCCGACTCTCTGGGATATCAGACCTTATTTTGTGGATTACAGAAAGAATGTGAGGAGACAGGTAGACAGACACCGTTCTTTGGGTTGCTGTGTACTCCTACGGGGGGGGTTCATGGTTTTCCCAGTTGTCTCACGCTTCTTTCACTTCACCCAGTTCAGGTCGAACGGTGAGCTTCTTTCACCAAGCGCAACACGTTTCACCTGGCAACCAGGTGACCTCCTTCACCACCCTTTAGAGACAGACCGGCCAAACCGAGTTCGGACTGGGCACGGAAACGTTTCGGATCACCGCAAAAGCGAGGTTCGAGACGGACTTCGCCACCTTTTCGGAGGGCGAGCACTTGGTGAAGATCTTGGTGGTGCGCCGTGGCGGCTTTGAGGGGAACATCACGGTGAGCTATCAGATCCTCAACGAGACCAATGCGACCTTAGGTTTGGATTACAAGGACGGACCGGGAGGACGGACGGTGGAACACGGGTGGTTTACATTCTTGTATCCCTTCCGTGAGCACTTGGATAGGTTGATCATTGATAGATTCTGACATCGACCCTGAAAGGAAACCCTTGAAGACTGGATGATGAAGACTTAGTAAAGGCTGACTATGCCACCGCTTGACCCAGTGGTTTCAGTCCAATGTCGTGTCCAAAACAATGATCACGACGGTTGATTCTTGGTGCCCCTTTGTTCGTCCATCAGCGGCCCTTCTACAGTAAGGGTCCAGTGCCTCACGGTCGCCGTGCCACTCCCACTCCCTTCGCGCGTGGGCATGGAGTGCCCCGCGAGGACCATACCTTTCCATCGCTCTTCTACGATGAACGCATGGTGGGCTCCAGCTTCTACTCGGTACGGATGATCGAACTCTTGGAGAACCAAGTCTGGGAGAGGAGCAAGGCAGGGGGAGAGTCCGGAGATGTGCCGCACAGCATTTGGAGTCATGAAGCAGGGTTCAGGACATGAAAGAACCTGTTGACGATTTGGGGAAGGGAAGAAGGTTTGACCAATTGTCTTGGGAGAATAACCCGTTGGGGATAGTTGGGGATAGAAAGCCAGGTTTCTGGCATGCGGTCAAGCTGTCTCATCGGGGCACCTAACAGGTTCTCGTGCTACGACCAGACGAGATTTTTCCATGATCCTTCGCTGAAGGAACAGGTCATCCAAGGCAACATCGTTGGGCGATGTTGGATTCGATTCACAAAACGTAAGAGCTGAAAGGGAACCGCCTTCAGAGCCTCCAGCTGTCCACGTGGCTTTTGGGGTTGGCTGGCACACCGGTGCTCAGAGCTGTGCTCCGAGCTGTGCTCCGAGCCTCGCCTCGCCAGGTGATCTCCCTGGGGCTCAGCGCCGAGCCGCCGGACGCGCTGGGCCCGCGGTCCATCATGACCATCTGGATCCGCGACGACGGGGACGGCGGCCGCATCGTCATCCCGCGCGAGACCTCGGTCAACGAGGACCGCGCCGGTGGGTTGGTGGTCTGGTGGGTGGTCTTCTTCGGACTGAAGAGCGGTGGTGTCTGCGGTGTGGGGGCGGAACTTGTGGCAGTGTGCAGTCTGCAGGCTCTCTCCTCCCCCTTTCTCGCTCTCTCTCTCTCTCTTTTTTTTTGTGGAGTTCTGAAGCTTGAGGCAGGGGGTGAAGTGTTCTGGGGAGACCTGCTGGTCAATGGTCGGGCATCCAAGTCGAGCTAGAATTCGATACACAGTCTACCATAGTTTGCACCAACGACCTCGAACCTGATGGATCCCTGTTTTGGAGCCAAAACATTCTTTCCTCCCAAAACCGAGGCCAACTACATACTAAATAGATCTAAATAGTAGAAGTGGACGAGACCTTTGCAACTACACCCAAGCCTTGTCAAGTTTGGCGGTCCCTGCACGAAACAACACAGATACGTACCGCCTTGGTCCCTGGAGAGATATATGGATCGAGTCGGGCCACTTGGCCTGCCATGCAACGAAAACGAAGTGCAAAGACTCCTGGTCCTCCAAACGTTGTTTCGTCAAAAACATGGAGATCCCAGCCAGGTCGGTCTTCGCGTTTGGTCGAAAAAGGAAGGCCCGTTGTTCAGCCCCCCCGATTCCCAAGAGCATGGTGTACATGGGTTGCCAACTGTGGCGTTGTCGTCGGAGTGGCCTTCGCAAAACTGCTCGGCCCACGAGCCGGAGCCGAGCAGTGGATTGGTGGAACGTTCGTGGATGCTCCGTGGGATCCGGGACCACATCAACAAAGCTTAAGCTTGGGGGGTCATATTAATATTTACATATATGGACCTTTAACCATTCAGATTCAACCACCGCAAATGAGTCCGAAGACTGACCCTCCTCACCTCGCCGGCGCCGTAGCTTCGCGGTTCGTTCCCGGTTGCCCCCGGTTCCCCCGATTCAGCCCGGTGCATCAGGGTGAACGAACCCTCCTTCGCACGGGCACCCCACCACCGGAGCCGGCGGCTTCCTGCGGGTTCCGCGCCGCGCCGAGAGGAGTTCCGCTTTGCGAACGAGGCCTGTGCCGTTTGGGCCGAGCGCCAGGGCCCCACCAGCGGCTGGACGCAGATCGAGGCCCGGCCGGATCGAACGGACAGTGGTGCCGTGGTCGCTTTCGGGGTGTGGCGGGGGACTGTTGCAGCCCGGTTCTTTTCGGGCTGAGGCCTGGAATTGTTGGGGTGGCAGGGTGTTGTTTTTTTTTGAGATCAGTTATCAGCGATGTTGATTTCTGGCCATGACAGCGAGCCAGCTTGTCGTGTGGTCGTGAAACGCTCAGCCATTTCGGGGTTCAAGCTGACGGAGTGTCCGTGGACCGCACGACGTTTTCCACCGCATTCATGGCCAAACCATCCTCCTATGCACCTCTGAGCACGGAGCTGAGCTCTGTTGGCGGCTCAGGCTCAGGTCAAAGCTGGTCAACGGGTCAAGAGGTGGACAAGGATTGGGACAACTACCTCCATGGCTTCAAGGCGCAGTGGTTTTGGTTGGTGGTACTTTACTGTACTCCTCCTGGGCTGATCTTTGGCTACAGCATTGTGATGTCAGTATGGTATGGGTCATGGTGGAATACCAGCGGCAATGAGCCGTATGAGCCACGGCCAGCAGACATCGGGACTTTGTATAACCCTGTCTTCAACTCTTTGCCGGTCATTCTGAAGTCGCATATGACTTTTGCAGTGCCCATGCTGGGCGGGATTTTGCTGCAAGTCGCTTTGGCTTACTTTGGCGTGATCAAGAGCAATGTCAGTGCCATGAAGGGGCATGCGCGTTTCGGTTCGGTTCTGCTCGTGATCATCCTTGCTTGCGTTGGACTTGGAACCCTGTCCCTGTGGTTCTGTGATGTGCAGAACAAACGGGGAGCAGAGACTATGTTCTTCGTCATGATCGGATTCGGTATCATGGCTTCGGGTGCCCGTGGTATTGCCTTTGCATCCCAAGGCCTTCACGGTTTGCACATGCAGTACATGACCTTCACCGTTTGCTTGATCTTCACGCCAGGCTTCAATCGGATCATGACAGTGCTGGTGAGGCACATCTATAGTGCCTACCAAGCGGACTACAGCCAGCAGTGCTTCATTGCTTCCACATGGTCTCCCATTGGCTATTACTGGACATGGTCCTTTCTCCTGGGCTTGAGCTACATGGCTCTTCTGTGGCTGTGCCCCTGGAGTCCGGCCAAGGTCCCTTTCTTCAAGGCCTATAGCTTTGGCTTCTTCTACGCCCTGCTGATGGGGG